GGCAATCGAGATTTTGTGTCGAGAAAAACCCAGTACATTTCGAACATTGTGAACAAAATGACAGACACTTATGCAGGGATACGTCTGATCATTTTGCAAACTGCAATGAGAAAAAGATGACAATCGAGTTACCTAACAAATACAAGAAGTGCTATTGCTCCAACTGGGATTTATCGATGTAAAATAAACATAACACTATTGCGCCACTTAGTATTTCTCGACATAAAATAAAACAAGCGCTGTCATGCTGCTTGGGTCTTTTCCTACTCATTTAGAGAAAGTTTGGTTGCACTATTTGGCATTCTTCGACAGCGTTTTTTCAATACCCTCTGGGACTCAAATGGTTAAACAAGTGCAAAAATCTCCTATTTACTACTGCTACTTTAAGCTGCTTCTTCTAAAATATATGTACAGGTAGAAGTAGGTGGGATACTAGAACCCTCAAAAAAAGTCTCATCTTGATATTCAGAGACAGAGAAAGAGAATACAGGAAAAAAAAGGCACACTTCTTTTTTAATGTTTCCAAGGATAACCCATTGTAATTGTTTGGTATTGAACTGAGTGTGATGATTCCCTTCCAGCTGAAAGCATAAGCAGCTTAGCTCTCATACACAACATCTTAAGACATGAACATATTCCCAAGTCTAACTCTCAAAGAGAAATTGCAGAACACCAGTTCTTAAAAGTTGGACATAATACAGGGTGCATCCAGAAAGTAATGAAACTGATTCCAGAAAATCACTTATTTGAAGATAATTTTACAGACATTTAATAATCTTCAAAATAGCCTCCTCCTGCATTGATACACCATTGGCAATGACTCTGCTACCCATTGATGTCTACCTGGAAGTCTTCAGCTGTAATGCTGTTCAGAACATACGTTATGTTCTGCAAGTTCTCCAGATTTTCAAAACGATGACCTTTCAAGCTGGGTTTTAACCGGGGGGAATAGAAAAAAGTCTGGCGGTGACAGATTGTGGCTGTACAGTGGTTGCAGCAGTGGTGCAACATTGTGCTTTGGCAGGAACTGAATCATTTTGAAGGATGTGTAGACTGGCACATTATCGCTGTGCAGAATTCAGTTGTTTGTGAGCTCCAGGTGGATATGCAAAATTCAATTCTTCAACCTTTTAAGCACTTTGTAAAAATCTACACTAAACTGTCTGTCCAGGTGGCACAAAGTCTTTGTGCTGTATTCCCTTGATGTCAAAGAAGGCAATGGGCATGGACTTCATTTTGATTTGCTCACTCGAGCCTTCTTTTGTTGAGAAGATTGGGACATGTGCCAGTCTGCACTCCGTCTCTTTTTTTTTTTTGGGGATCATACTGAAAGACCTATGTTCTGTCACTCATGATCACTCGCTTCAAAAAATTAGGATCACTTGTTAACACCAGAAAATTCCCACGAAGTTGACTAGCAGTTTTCTTTCTGTCTATCGGTCAAAACCCTTGGAACAAGCTGGCATAAATTTTCCACATTTGAAGTTCTTCCTGATGATTTGATGCACAATCAGTTTTGTAAATCCCAATGTTTCCACAATCATTAGAATACTCATTCAACGATCAGAGTCCAGAAGTGCTTAAGTTTTGGCCACATTGTCTGAAATTCAAGAACTTGATGGAAGCCCAGCTTATTGTTCCTCATCCATGTCCTCTCTTTCGTCTTTAAAGGCTTTTTCCACCTAAACAACTGAACCTTGGACAAAAAATACTTCCCATAAGCTACTTGTAACATGCCAAACATCTCAGCATTTGGTTTGTTTAGTTTTACACAAGATTTTAAGGCATATCATTGCTCAACCCTCCACTGCATTGCTTGGCTCAAAAATTTTAATCTCATTACTTTCTAGACAGACCCTATATCAATAACAAAATTTTTCACAGAACTATTAATTGTTTCTAAAGGAGCGAATGGAATTCAACAAATTCTTTTCTTAAACTTTATAACATTTAATATATATACGTCCTTTGTCAGAAAAATTCCAGGACAATTTTTTTTATTTCTGAGTTTGCAATACTAAAAAGGAACAAATGTTGCTTTTATGTTACCTGGTATGTATTCTTACTTGACATGGCCTTGGCCATGTTTCCATGCAAACTTTTTTCTTGTACTGCTGCAATCAAAAGTTTTTCTGAGCAGTTGATCTAGCATAGTCACTAGGAAATATTCTTTTGAATCATGACTTCAGATTCACAGCATTTGTAAAGTAATATAAACAGGCTATCACTTTTGACAGTTACAACTGGCATTCCATTAAATGGAAAGTACATTTATTGAAGAACCCTTTTTAATACTATGAAATAGTAGCACTAAAAAATGAAATAAATAATTATGAAAATTCTCAATCAGTCTGAACAAAGGACACTTACTAAACAAAACTGAAGATCCTGTAAGTGGATATTATTGAAGCATTTTACTGCATTTATTTTATGTTCCTTATCTTCAACTTCTGGAATTTAATTCTTAAACTCAACGGCCTATTATAACAGCTTCATTTAAATGTTTCAAATGCTAAATTGAAATCTTACATTAACAAGAAGCGTAACAAAATAAATGCACATTGGCTAATACAAAATTTCAATTGCAGTATCATTGTATTCAATTGCAGTGCTAAAATAGCATTATTTAAATTATAACCCAATTTAATTACATTTTAAGTGTTTTGTATTTGAAATATTAAATAAATTTTAATTTAAAATGAAAAGTCCTACTGTTCATTATGATATTTAAATATCATAACTGATAATCTCAAAAGTTTAGGAAGGGAAAAAACTGCTCAAAATATCGAAAATAATCAAAATGCAAATTACTTTTTAAAAAAATCTATTGTGAAAAAAATGAACCCTCATAAAAGGCAGATATCATAGTAAGAACAGACAACTTTTAAGATATTATGGTAATGTTCTGTTATTGGGACCATATTCAGGAATGTATGAATGAATGTATGTATGTATACACATACATACATTTGTACTTACATATATATACATGCACACATACAACCATACATAAATTTTTGGAACCAGTCCCCTCATAATAGAACAGAATAGATATGATTTATTATAGCATAAATTTTGTCAATACTATGAAATAGTAGCACTAAAAAATGAAATGAATAATTATGAAAATTCTCAATCAGTCTGAACAAAGGACACTTACTAAACAAAACTGAAGATCCTGTAAGTGGATATTAGACATGCTACAGAGTTCGTCACTTTTATTTTGCTAAATAAGTTTTGAGGAACCTAGAGAACTGTTAAGCGAATTCTTGCTTATTTCAAAGGACAGAGATCATAAACTCAAGAAGGGTTGCCCTTTATTCACTCAAAATAAGATTAACAGTCAGCCCCTTTTAGGGGGCTTACAGCAAAGCCTCCACTCGGCTTAAACTCAAAAGTAAGAAACAAGAACTAACTATTACTAACTAGGAAATTTAGTCGAAACTAATGCAATTCTAATGTAGTTGGCCCACAATCTGAACTAGCCAACAAACTATCAAAAAGCACATAATAATACGGCCAAGCATAGCAACAGCTTAGAGAGATGCAGCCCAAAGGCAAACGCGCGCTACTCAGGATTCCTAACTCTTTCTCTTGAAAACAGCTGAACTTTCCTTTAATACTACCTCTTCTTCATTTGCATTTAACCCAATTCTAAAAACTTATTCTGGCAGACAGTTGTAAGTTGAAATGAGACAAGATAGGATAGTTCACTAAATTAAAATAACTATTAGAAAATTAAAAATATGCTTTACAATGTTAACTATGCAATAATATAAGAAATAAGTTTTCTACAAGATAAATGGTATTTAATGGTTTTTAGATAGATATGATTTATTATAGCATAAATTTTGAATGAATGTATGTATGTATACACACACATACATTTGTACTTACATATATATACATGCACACATACAACCATACATAAATTTTTGGAACCAGTCCCCTCATAATAGAACAGAATAGATATGATTTATTATAGCATAAATTTTGTCAATACTATGAAACAGTAGCACTAAAAAATGAAATAAATAATTATGAAAATTCTCAATCAGTCTGAACAAAGGATACTTACTAAACAAAACTGAAGATCCTGTAAGTGGATATTAGACATGCTACAGAGCTCGTCACTTTTATTTTGCTAAATAAGTTTTGAGGAACCTAGAGAACTGTTAAGCGAATTCTTGCTTATTTCAAAGGACAGAGATCATAAACTCAAGAAGGGTTGCCCTTTATTCACTCAAAATAAGATTAACAGTCAGCCCCTTTTGGGGGGCTTACAGTTCGTCACTTTTATTTTGCTAAATAAGTTTTGAGGAACCTAGAGAACTGTTAAGCGAATTCTTGCTTATTTCAAAGGACAGAGATCATAAACTCAAGAAGGGTTGCCCTTTATTCACTCAAAATAAGATTAACAGTCAGCCCCTTTTGGGGGGCTTACAGCAAAGTCTCCACTTGGCTTAAACTCAAAAGTAAGAAATAAGAACTAACTATTACTAACTAGGAAATTTAGTCGAAGCTAATGCAATTCTAATGTAGTTGACCCACAATCTGAACTAGCCAACAAACTATGAAAAAGCACATAATAATACGGCCAAGCATAGCAACAGCTTAGAGAGATGCAGCCCAAAAGCAAACGTGTGCTACTCAGGATTCCTAACTCTTTCTCTTGAAAACAGCTGAACTTTCCTTTAATACTACCTCTTCTTCATTTGCATTTAAACCCAATTCTAAAAACTTATTCTGGCAGACAGTTATAAGTTGAAATGAGACAAGATAGCATAGTTCACTAAATTAAAATAACTATTAGAAAATTAAAAATATGCTTTACAATGTTAACTATGCAATAATATAAGAAATAAGTTTTCTACAAGATAAATGGTGTTTAATGTTTTTTTAATTCTTACTTAATCAGAAATTCAAAATTAGTAAAATAACAATAATGTTTCATAGATATAGGAAATCTGAAAATAACTTAAAAAATACAGCATACATACATGAAGACCTGAATGGAATAGCAATTTTTCCTTGTACACTGCTCATTGCTATTATAAATCCAGAATCTCGTTCCAGCATGGATGGCAGAATTGCTAAATATCAAAAACAGTGCAACAAAATTATTACACGTTGCACATATTTTATGAATATAAACTTAGGAAACTGTGACTAAATATTTTATAAAAATTTAATTATATAGTAGCATAATAATAGGTTTTTTTTTTTTTTTTTTTTTTTTTTTTCTGATATCTGCATTTTCATTTCAAAAAAATGCAAATGTTTAAATTTTTTCCTCTCGGATAGAGAAAAGTCATTAAATTACATTTCGATAACATGCTCAAATAAATGCTAGATGGTGGTTTTACATAATCTTACTCAGTTACACTTTCTACGATACTATATACTAAAAACAAGATAATTTTATCCAGATATTAATAACAAGATAATTTTTTATTTCCTTGTAATTTTTTAACCTACCCTTGTATTTAAATAGCTGTGGTTTTGCTATCATTTTATTATATTGTTAATTTTTTTTTATTTTTCCCTTTTCTTTAATTTTATTAATATTGAAGTACAAGAAATTGCAGTACGTGTGATGGTAGAGGCATTGGAACTATATTTCTCACTCTAAATGTTTATTATAGAAAATATACTGAAGTAAAGCAATTATTAATTTAAGAGTTAACTTTATTGAATTTATAAAAATTTGACAAATACGAATTTATATACACATATTAGACATACTTATACTGGCCCTGCCTAAGGAGATGCAGGTAGTAATTTTTTTTTAATTTTTTATTTTTTATTTTCTTACTAGACCTGCATACTGAGGAGTAACATAGTCTTATTGAAATGCTTTCAGCTTAATATGGAAAAAAAAATTTCTAAATTGGAAATCCTCCTAAATATAATTATGAGTGCAATAAATATAATACACATAAAATTTAATAGAACAATTTGGTACATTGCATGTTTCTAATTGACATTCAGCTCTTGCTCATATGTGTCACATCTCTTATTATTTTTACAATCACTTCTCAGATTTTTAATACTTGTTTCAACATTTTAGTACATAGCATGTGCAGTAAGGTACATGGCATGTGCAGACAAAGCAATTCATCAATCTACGTAATCCCTGTCACATCTTTACTTCACAGTGAACTCATGTTTAAATGATTGAAAATGATGCAGCATTGGATAAAGTAATAGATTTAATAAAACAAATCAATTTTCAGCACTTTGATATTACGCATATTCTTAATAAAGCAAATCTTTGAGAGAGGGGAGGAATGGCCGACTACAGTACAAAAATTCATTCGGATAACAGTTATAAAAATAAAATAAAATTTCCTTAACATGAAACTCTCAGCTGCTATCAACTCACCTTTCGTCAGAGCTACAGGTCCAAAATAGTTTGTAACCATAACTCTTAGATCAACTTCTAATGCTGTATCAGTAATTTCTCCTCGAGAACTGATGCCACCATTATTTACCAAGATATCAATGTAACCATATATATTAAGTGCTTCTTGTGCTTTTGCAGGAATTTCTTTCAGATTGTGAAGATCTAATGTAAGAACTGTTGGTTCATGCTTAGATGGATACTGAAATGAAAATTTGCTCATGTAAATAATAATTTAAAATAGTAATTAAACTGAATATGTAATTTAGAATATCTCATTTAACTATTTTTATTTCATTTAACGAGTTTAATATCTTTAGAGAATGTAAAATTAAAATGCTGAAGAAAGTTAAAATAACATACTTAAGACACATGTAACTTGAATTTCAAATGGGGAAAAAAAAATCATCTAAGTTAATTTTCTCCCCAGTAAATATTGAAATTCCAATTGCAAAAAGAATGATTGGTTAATTCAGAGAAACAAAGCATGTGAAGACTATTGCAAATAAAAAATAAAAAAAAAAATTAAACAAATATTATTAATCAGTTATTATAAGAATTTAGAGAATAAAATACTAAAAACACTAAACAATTATTCTACAAATCTTCTAGATTTTAAATAATGAAAAACATTTTATATAACCCATGTTTTCACTTCTTTAATAAAAAAACATCCAAACAGAATATGCGATTTAATTATGAAAAATTTAATTCAAACAGAATAAATAATTTAACCAAACATTTATAAATGACACTACACTGAAAAAAAAAAAAATTAAAATAAATTAGGACACAAAAGATATTTTAAAGGAATATACTGTTATGAATATGTAAGTAATTTTAATGAAATTATATGCAAAGTGTAATATATCTTGCATAGTGTAATATGAAAGAGTACAAGATCATCAAGCCTTTCTAAAAAAAAAAACCAGGTCACAAGAGTAAATGCATTGAATATTGAGGAAAATTGCTATAGTGGCAAACAGCAGTAAGGTGGTGATGTTTTGATGACTAATTTCGTTGCCAAATTTGATGAGAGATTGCCGAAAGACGTGAACATTTCATGACATTTTGGTCCGATCCCCGTATAACACTAGCTAGTGCAATCGCTATGTAACTGTATACGCCTTCCAAAATTTCAAGAAATTGGAGGTACTGGAAATTTCTCAGCAAACAAGGAAAATTATATAAGACTGAAGAGAGCAGTTTTAGTTCAGAGTTTAGCTCAGAGTATTGAGCAACCACTGTGCAAGCTTACACATTTGAGGCATATTATATTGTCTAATGTTTAATGTTCTTCGTAGTTTATAAGTGATAACTATTCATTGAACTCTCTCACGCTTAGAAAAGTTGTACGAATACATCTGTTTCAGAACTGTAAAGTGTTTCTTCTGGGAGCATAAATCCTATCAAGCTATCACGGGTTCTGTGTGCATTCAATCCAATCTTAACCCGTACATACAAAACAATAGACTTAAAAAGCTTTGCTTAGAAGATTATGAATTTTATGTGCTCTTATCACAGTAGCGTGTTACTTAACAATCATTTTCTTTTTTAATTTTTTTTCCCAAGTTCAAAACATCTAACTACTTTATTAAACCATATACAAGTTCCAGCTTTTTCACAATTACATTAAAAGCACATTCTATTTCAGATACATTTCCAACTACTTTATTTTCTTTCAAAGTTCTTTTTCCTTCCTTTTTCTCTCTTTAGAATTTTGAAATGGTCTAGTTTTTTTTAAACCAACAGAAAATATGTAGTTTCCTTTTTACTCTAAAAAAAGTATTTTCATAATTCTTTTAAGGTTACTATTTCATGGACTTAAACTTTTACACTGGACTCTTCATTTAATTATTCGATTAAATAAAACCACACCACTGCTTAACTACACTTTCCATAAAATAAGTTTTGATCATGCTTTATGAATTCTGAATTATCCTGGGAAATGGGAAAGAAAGAAAAACAGAATTTGACAAAATTATCATTAACAGTTATTTATACACAGTCCAGTCACATTAATGTGACTACCACCTACTTTCAACATCAGCGTGAAATAACCAACCACAGAAGGCAGGTGGCAGCAATTGCAGTGGAGCATATATAAAGGATGTACGAGAGAATCAGAAAACGTTGCAATCATTGGCAGAATGCATAAATAGAGTGATTTACCTGACATCCAAAAGGGCATAAATTATTGGCTTTCGGGCCAAGAGTAAAAGTATTTTTGAAATGGCTAATTTTATAAACTGTTCGCATGCCTCTGTAGTAAAAGTATACAGTGCATGGCAACATGGCACTATTCAAAATCAGTGATGTTGCAAATGTGGTGCACCATGAGCCACAGATGACAGAGGTGAACGACGGCTGCAGAGATGCATTCGTGTGGATAGACATGCAACCGTTGAGCAACTCACCGCCCAGATGAACCAAGGGACTACAAACAGTGTCTCCTCAATGACGATTCAGGGAATGATGCTGGGTATGGGCCTCCACAGCAGATGCCTGGTTAAAACACCTATGCTGACTGCAGTTCATCAGCAACGATGGCTGGAATTTGCAAGGCTGTACCACAACTGGATATCCACTGAGAGGTGACAGGTAGCATTTTCTGATGAATCACATTTTATGTTTCATCGGACAGATGGACGTTGGCGTATATGGTCTGAAATGTCAGAAAAACACCGTGCAACAATTGACGGAGGGGTCAAAGCTGAAGGAGGTAGCATTATGGTCTGGGGAATATTTTCGTAGCATTCTCTGGGGGCATTCATCATTGTGGATGGCACGATGGATCAACAGAAATATGCATCTGTCCTTGCAGACCATGTCCACCACTGAATGCAAATTGTTTTTCCTCAGAATGATGGCATCTACCAGCAGGACAATGTGAAGTATCATACAGCTAACAGTGTGCATGTGTTACTTCAAAGAGTACCAAGATGAGTTTACCATACTTCCCTAGACTTAAACCCAATCAAGAATATGTGGGACCACCTTGATTGGGCTGTTCGTGCCATGAATCCTCAACGGCATAAGCTAGCACAGCTGGCTACTGCACTGGAGTCGGCATGGCTCAACATCCCAGTGAACACCTTCAAGAATCTGACTCTTTTCCTGGCATATCTCACAGTGGTCCGTTCTGTGAAAGGTGGTTATTCTGGCTTCTGACAGGTAGTCACATTAATGTGACTAGACTGTGTAATTAGAATTAAAATTAAACTTTTCAAATTACATTAAATTAAAAATTATAAAACTTTACCATAAAAAGTGGATTCAGTATACACAAATACACACATTTAAACAGGTACAAAAAGAACCAAATATATTTACTACAAATATTGCAGCAATTGTGAAATTTTAAAACAATAAGGTCAGTCAGTCTAAATTTCTATGATAACATTATACATTTGAATTTAAGCCCTTAATGTTCCTTATTTTCCAAGAAAAATTATATGGTTAAAAGCCTATGTTATTTTCTTTTCAGCTTAGCTTAAATTTTTGAAGTTTTAAAAGATCTTTTCCCATAAAAAAATAAGCTGCTTACATATTATCCCATCAGTCATGAAAGTTGGCTACTATTGAATGATGAAAGTTGGTGGATATCCTGCCAAACTTACACCTGGAGAATTCTGAGCTGCATTTCTCTCTGCAACTCTTACAGTGAAATATTCATCAGTCTCTCTGCACAATCTACTGAATAGCCAATGTAGTGGTAGTACCCAACCCACTATGTTTTTACCCGAGTCGTAGCTAGGGTTTTCAGCGCCCAGGGACAACTGAAGATTTCGCATCCCCTACTGCTTGCCAAGAATGGAAAACATTTAATTCTAAAATGTCATAACATCAGTTTGGCGCCCCTTGAATTCTGTGCCCGAGGACAGATGCCCCCCTTGCCCCCCTCTAGCTACTCCCCTGGTTTTTATATTTAATAAGGCTTTTGTTGATTTCTACCATTTTATTAATCTCTCCAACTTTACAAAATACCTTGCTTAGAATGCTATTGAATCAAACTTCCCTTTTTCCCATTCAACAGATGTTGATTCTATTGGTCAGTTATAAATGTACCAAGAAGCAGTCACAAATATGATATAGCCCTCGAAATTACTTTTTTCAAAATGCAAGAAAATATACAACAACAATTAATATCTTTTTTCTTAAAAAACAAAAGCAATCAAAGTTTGAGAATCAATTGGGGTGACATCAAATAAAAATACAGATGTCATGGATAAACATGATGTCTTAATACACTCATTATTCACGTATGCTGTTTGGCGAGTTTCACTGTTGATGGGATAATATATAAGTATCAAATATAATATACAATTTAATTTACAATAATTATTTTAGACACCAGTTACACTATGTAAATAAATCATACCATTGACATTAAATCCTCCTTAACTTTCTCCAGAGCATCTCTACGTCTTGCAGCAAGTATAACTTTTGCCCCTGCTTTATAAAAAGCATGAGCAAGAGCTGAAAATATCCAGATATTTGTAACTTGAATCCAAAATAAAGTGAAAGTAGTTCTATGTCAATACAATGCAAAGGAAAAAATTCATGAATTAAATAATTTTAGAGAAGAAAAAATTCAATTACCATTAAATAAGCAAAGTAGTAAAATGAAATTTCATTAAATATTTATAACAAATATATACTTTTGTACTAGAGTGTTAACATGTACTAACATATCCTGAACTGCCCTTGAATTAGCGATACCTCATTAGTAATAAGTTGTTACTCTTTTGCCTGATTAATGGTTGTATCACATGACAAGGCGTGGATTCAATAGTACTAAAGTAGTACAATGGTACTAAAGTGTACAATGGTACTAAAGTGTACAATGGTACTAAAGTAGTACAATGGTACTAAAGTGTTAAATAATTTTTAAGTGCCAAATGTTTTTTACAGTTTCACATAAATCAGTTAAATATGCTGGTAATGGATGATATGCTTCTACATCATTTTAAAGAGTATCCCAAACGTTTTCTATGATATTTAAGTTCAGGCTTATCAATGACCATTTCAGCAGTGAAAATTCAATTTCACTGTTGAAGTGGCCTCCTCGATAAAGTGACACCGAGATCTATGACAGAGATAGTTGTCCTGCTGGTACACTCACTTTCAGAAAAGCATCAAAGGATTAAGTACAGTACAGTCTTTAATCCGGACTCGTTGGGACTTTGGCTATTCCGGATTAGGGGTTTTTCTGGATTATAGAACATCAATTTAAATCTGGTAAGATGGCATGCAGAAATTATAAAATTAAAAATATGAAACCGTAATTTATGAAATAAAGAGCAATTATGATCTAAAGGTATCAAAATTTTCAAAAAAAAAAAAAGCTTAATATTTATTTGTTTTAGTAAACATTTCTATCAACGTAAGTTGTTTAAGTTGCTTCATTTTTTGTGCAAATACTTTCTCTTTAATTCTATAAACAGGCATAATTTCTTGTTTAGTTACAAAGTTCCACTGTTCAAGTCCTGTAATTGCTGTGCCGAGAATACTGACTAACTTGTAAATCGAAATTTTTTCCTTTTCACTAACCTCTCTGTCACTTTCTTCATACCTTTATCCATTTTTTGCAGCAATTCCACTTTTTGTTTCATGGCCATCGAAACATGCTTTCGCATTGTAGATCCTTTGGCAGCTCCAGAATCGGAAACTCTTTTTGACATAATCGAAAGTTCAAGCTTACTTTTTATAAATTGCTCTAACAGTCTGCAAAAAATAATAAGGCGGATCCAATTACAAATTACAATATTAAGGAACAATGCAATCTGCAACATTAACTGAAATAGATAATTTTAGCCTAGTTATACCGTCCGTTATACATTAAACGCACATGCGTAAACATATTATGCGCATGCATAAAGGTATTATGCACAAGCATAAATGGTATGCATGCGCAGAAAGTTTGTAGCTTTGAGGTCAGAATTATAGATCATTCCAGATTATGGACGTCCGAATTAAAGACTTTGTATTGTAATCACCCAGCATAGTAACTGAAGACTTGGGGAGAAACACTGTTTATGTCCATTAAGAAGAATTTTCAGAAAAACTAATTTGTGTGTAGCTTCAAAATTAAAGAAAACATTACACAAAATCATATAAAAACTTGATAATATATTTCCAACCTGTATTTAATGAAATTTGTATTATAAACAAACTTCAAATATACTAATAATAGATATACAAACACACAAAATAGGAGAGACACAAATTTTCATTTCCCCCCCCCAATATGACTAAACTTCTTTCCCAGTTCCTTCTATTAAACCTTGGAGACACAAAAGTTTTTTGTTGCCATAATTGGCTTTCCCTCAAATGAGTTCTTTTCCAATCATTTTATTTTTCAGATTTTAAATTAGCTTTGCTTTTTCTTGTCTTTCAACAAGTTTTCCGATTTTTTGGCAAGCATATCAGTCTCTACTTATAATGTATCACAAGACTACTAGTGTCCTTTTTTGGGTAACCAAATCCAATGTCAAACTTAGAATTCAAAATATCTCTAAATTTATCACATCACACTGGATTGTTCCTTTTATACAGTCAAAAGTCTTTAATCCGGACTCGTCGGGTCTTCGGCGATTCCGGATTATAGATCATAAGTTTAAATCTGGTAAGATGGCATGAGAAATTATAAAATTAAAAATATGAAACCGTAATTTATAAAATAATGAGCAGTTATGATCTAAAGGGTATCAAAATTTACAAAAAAAAGAAGCTTAATATTTATTTGTTTACTTTATTAAACATTTCTTTCAATGCGCGCATGCGTAAAGCATACCTTACGCATAGCCGAAATTAGAAAATTGCAACCAGAAAACTATTTGATTTGTATTCGTGATATTTATAATGACGAGGAATTTGATTTAAATCATGTCAAAGACGGAGTAAATCGAGATTAAATACTACATTTAGTAAGGAATTATAAGCCGAATAAAATAAAAACATCTGCCCTGAAGATAACGATAGTGCTGACAGATCAACTTCCAGTTCATTGCACGCCACGACATCTTCCCCCGCGCAGAGCAGCGTGAAATTGATAAACAGATTTCGGAACGGTTAGATAAACAAAGGATATGCCTTTATCCATTTTTTGTAGAAATTCGTTTTTTGTTTGATGGACATCGAAACATACTTTCGTTTTCTAGATCCTTTGGGAGCTCCAGCATCAGAAATTCTATTTGACATAATCGAAAGTTCAAGCTTACTTTTATAAAATTGCTTTTACAGTCTGTAACAAATAATAAGCCGGATCCAATTCGAAGATCAAGGAACAATGCAATTATCAACATTAACTGAAATAGATAATTAGATAATTTTAGCTTATACCGTCCGTTATACATTAAACGCGCACGCGAAAACGTATTCTGCGCCTGCGCAGACGCATATGTGCAGTCGTAAATGTCTTGCGCGCACGCGTAAAATGCCTATGCGCATGCGTCAACGTGGGGCATGCGCAGAAAGATTTTAGCTTTGAGGTCCGGATTATGGGTGTCCGAATTAATGACTTTTGGCTGTACATCATTTAATTTTATGATTTTTAACTTTTCCGACAGGTATATTTTCATACTCTTTTTTAAGAAATAATGAAACTTTCTGTCCTTGAAGGATCTGACAAACATGATTATTTTAAATACAGCATTTTCAAGAAATGCATGCTTTCTGTTTGTATGTTTTCTTCTGAGGTACATTGTTGCTTTTCCGTTGATGGCCAAATCTCCTCTTACTTTATGAACCTATTTTTTTCTAATGCTGTTAAATAAAGCAAAGATGTTTATACAAACTTACACACCAATATATTGCCCGACTTGCAAATAATGTTCTCAATAAGAGTAAGAGGCAATGAATGAAGATCCCTCTTTTTCCCATACAAGAATTTTGGCACATCATAGGCAAAAATGTTACAAGACTGGGAAGATAATGATTTTAGGTATTATAATTCTGAAGTTCATTAAAATTGAGAATTCATCATTTTCCACTAGCAGAGATCAAAGAAAAACACTGAAAACATTCGCACTAATAGTCAGGTCCTAACGCACGTGTGATTGCTCTTTAAACTTTCATAACATTGCAGATTCTTCATTTGATTCTGCTTCTTGCCAAAAAACTGAATTCAGCCTGCATCGGAATCACAGTTTCCACGTTCGCTACTACTACTGTAGAACTGATGGATGAAGCATTACAAGGTCATCATTACAAAAGACAAGAATGGACATGAATAAGTTTGTTTGATAAAGGAAGTTGAATACAAATGCTTCTTTACTTTTGATGTGTAGAGAAAAATTGTTTTTCTCCAGTACACAAAATCTTTCTTCAGTTCCAATTACGGACATATATACTTTTGCTCCTGAAGTGATTCATAATGTAAAAGTTATTCTTATTATTTCCGCACTATACAGCATTATTACTTCAATTTTCACAAAAAAGGACATAAATGCTTTTTCCCCCAAGGTCTTCAATTTGATGCAGTGAGTCATTACATTCAAAAGCCCAGTACTTAGATGCAGTGAGAATGTTTGGTAAAAGTACCCATGTATTGCAGAAGTAAACATCTCAAACACACATAGTTATCCCGACCTCATAAATTTGGAACTTAGCATACTGGACCCATGGCTTCTTAGGTCTGGTACCATTCATATACTAGCCTACCAGAGTGATGCAGTTGGAATTGCAACACATTCCAATCATAGATGGCCCAATCCTAATGTTCTATGGCCTATACAAAATGCTTAAAATGGTGGCATGTAATGAGAAGAACAGTTTGGCTTCTGAAACCCATATGGTAAAGCAAACACCAGACAGTCCAGCTAACCAACTGTCTAACTGAATCTCACAGTAGGTGGTTCCCGAGTTCAGAGTTGGTATTGTCGATTAGAGCCAAGTTTTCAATGATCACAATCATTCAAGACAGCATATTCATTGCAAACTGCACAGTTAGTCTTTGATTTTCTACTCTCTCTATATTTTTAATATACTTTGAAAAATAAGAAAACCTCAATTCTCAAAACATTTTCTAAACTGGATGTTCTATGACCCATACAAAATGCTTAACACGGTGTCATGTAATGAGAAGATATATTTTGGCTTCTGAAACCCATAAGGTAGAGCAAACACTAGACAGTCCACCTACCAACTGTCCAACTGAAACTCACAGTAGATGGTTCCTGACTTAAGATTTGGTATTGCTGATAACAGCTGAGTTTTCAATGATCATAATCATTCAAGATAGTATATTCATTGCAAACTGCACAATTAATCTTTGATTTTCTACTCTCTCTATATTTTTATCATACTTTGAAGAATAAGAAAACCTTGATTCTCAAACCATTTCCAAAACTAAAATTACCCATATGGCAAGTACTAAGCCAACGTTTTCCCTTGAATAGATGCAAGCTAAACTGCAAGCTTTATCTATCATGTTACATTCAATAATTGTTTACAAAGGGATATACTTCCAGAAATAT